GTGGGCATTGAAGTCCCCCAGCAGAACAAGAGCGTCCCCGGGGGGAGTGCTCTCCAACACCCCTTCCAAGGACTCCAAAAAGGGTGGGTATTCTGAGCTGCCATTTGGCGCATAAGCGCAAACAACAGTCAGGACCCGTCCCCCCACTCGAAGGCGAAGGGAGGCTACCCTCTCGTCTACTGCAGTAAACCCCAATGTACAGGCGCCCAGCCAGGGAGCAATAAGTATGCCCACCCCAGCTCGGCGCCTCTCCCCGTGAGCAACTCCAGAGTGGAAGAGGGTCCAACCCCCTTCGAGGAGACTGGTTCCAGAGCCCAAGCAGAGAGGTGACATTCCATGTCCCTAGAACTAGCTTCTGCAGCCGAGGATCGAACCGCCAAGGTCCCCGCCTTTGGCCACTGCCCAGCTCACATCACACCCGACCCCTATGGCCTGTCCTATGGGTGGTGAGCCCATTGGAGGGGGGACCCACGTGCCTTGTTCGGGCTGTGCCCGACCAGGCCCCATGGGTGTAGGCCTGGCCACCAGGCGCTCGCCATCGAGCCCCACCCCCAGGTCTGGCTCCAGGAGGGGGCCCCGGTGACCCGCGTCCGGGCAAGGGAAATCGTGAATCCATGTTTGTGTTCATCATAAGGGTCTGACGAGCCGCACTTTGTCTGGTTCCTCACCCAGGACCTGTTTGCCTTGGGTGACCCTACCAGGGGCATAAAGCCCCGGGCAACTTAGCTCCTGGGATCATTGGAACACGCAAACTCCTCCACCACGATAAGGTGTCGGCTCCCAGAGAGGCTGTGCTAGTCATTTTGAAAAGGACACAAACTTATAAAAAGACATACTGTACTTTATTTTTGCCAAAACAATTCCATGAACACATGAATATGTACATAATTACAAGGCTGAATTAAAACATGACATAGAGTGGCCTCTGCGATTGGCGTTGCGGAGGGGTGGAGATGTGCTGTCCTGCCTTAAAATTAATGTCCACCAGCGCCTTGGGTTCCTGCAGACACCCAATCCATGATGATGAAAGAGATACTCATCACCATGAGGAGGAACCCTAAGCCTGTAAAACAGGCAGCCTGACACGGAGAGAGAGAAGAAAATGAGAAAAACATCTTAGTGCAATTGATTACACACTTGAAGCAAGGTCTACTCTTGGGGAAAAGGATATACCTGAATCTTTGTTTTGGATTTCAAGGGTTCCAGATCCACCGGGACAATTCTAATATAGAATAATCCAGGTAATATAAAAATCAGGCTCGGCGCTGATGTGGCCCCTGGAAAGTAAGACACATGGATTTGGTCAGGTGAGGAGGGTTGTCTGTCTGAATAAACATCCATCAGTTCATGGGAAACTTTCTAGACGTGTTTCAACTTGGTGTCTGGAAAGCTGACCTATGACTCCAAAAATGTCTTTTATGTTGGGTACAAAGATGACCAGAGTGTTAACCAGGACTAGCAGGCCGAAGGCAACACTGCTGTGACACACCCAGTTAAAAGGCCTGTTAGGGACCATGGGAGCTGGAGCAGTAGTGGGTATAGTGGGTTTTAGTTGATGGACTCACTTCCGCAGTTCTGTGTAGATGGGCAGAACTACTGGCTGGCAGACAAAGGCAAACGCCAAAATTGGGACGGTATATGCTGTCTGTAACTCAAAGACACAGGGGAAAGGACATAGGTTCAGCAGGTATTCCAGGCTCTGCATTCAACCTGAAAGCATGGCAACAGAATAAACTGCCTGACCCTTGTGTTAAGGGTGACCAATTTGGCCCCGCACACGTCATCTTCCGTGGTGCCGTTGTTTATATCCCCTGATGCTTGACTCGGGTCATGGTTATTAAGTGGACACCCAATGGTTAACTTCTTGTAGATTACCTACAAAACAAGACAGAACTGTGTCCCATGCTTGCTCAGGCCTTCTTTGGCTTCTGGTGTACATAAAGGAAATCTTAAATTCCCCCTAGTACCCCCCTCCCCTACTTACAGAGATGAGGAAGAACACCATGCAAGTCAAAGAGAACCCACTGGTGTAGCCAATGTAGCCTGTAGTTCTGTTAGGATAAAACAAAAGTAAAATAAAGATGAATTAATCGAGTTCAGAAAAATGTTATAATACCAGCTTGTCTGCAGTACCCTTCAATACTAACACAGAAGACTGGTAGTTTCATATCAATGTGGGGAGGAACCAGTGTAGGGGGAGTAGACTCACCAAGCTGCCGCATGAGGGCAAGAGGTAAGATTATTGTCAGGCTGACAATAATCACCAGGTATTCCCCTTTCAGATAGCACTCTCTGTGAACAAGACAGATAGTGCATCAGGCAAGAAGCCTCAGAATCCTAAACCAGGCTGAACCACCCTCATTGGCTCTTAGTGAAATGTCATAGCAGCAGTTGAATAGGGTTCAGCTTGTAAGCAAGGCTGTTCAATGGTGCTACATAATTACATGAGATTAAAGTTAGTTATATCAGGTTAGTTGGCTGGAAATAAATTGAACCAAGTGAATATGAAAGAAAAAATTATTCTGTAAATCAGAGGATTTCCGTATTTTGGGATTATTAAAGGATCCTTATTGCTTAACCACTACTGAACACCCACTGGGCCAGTGTGTTCCAGCACTCACCGGGAGTCAGATGTGGTTCCCAGGAAGAGTTCAATTATCAACGGCAGCTCTGACTTCACAATGAATAGGTAGCTGGCCATGGCTGGAGACAAAAAGAGCAACAGCTCTGAAAATCATAACAGAAACTGGCTCTCTTTTCAGTGTATATACTCCAGGCTATGCCTGATTTACAAATATCGTCTACAGCGGTCTCCAGACGCTCCTCCGACTCACCTCCGATGTTATTTAATGTGATTATGGAAGCTGACAGCACTTTTCCTGGAGTGCCGAAGGCCCGATTGCCCAGCCCTTTATAGGCACGGATCCCTGTGAGTCAGAGAAACCACAGGACACAGGTTACTAACAAGTCATTGAAAATGAATTGTAGATAAACAATGTCTGCATGAGGACCATTTACACCATGTATGTCAGCCACACGTTTCCAAATATAGCAGTACATTATCCTTGAGGCACAGAGCAGAGCGATTAACTGGTCATCTATGCTACTCTTATTAAATGTGGAAAAAGTGGATCTTTAAGTGAAAAATGGAATATTGTTAAGCATCAAACCTTTCCCCAATATTCAAGATTCAAGATTCAAAGCGTTTATTATCATATGTACAGAAAAGTAGTATTTCTCAGTACAATGAAATTCTTACTTTGCTGTCCACTCACAAATGCCAGGTTAAATTAAATTACAAGTACAAAAGAGCATACTTGAGAAAAATAGTGCAAAAAAGAGCTTAAAGTGCAAAGTGACCTGTTGTGCAAATGAGGTAGGTCATGATATGCAAAGTGATCTGTTATGTAAATGAGGTAGGTCGTCTATTTAGGAGTCTGATTGTAGTAAACAAATTGGCAGTGGTGGGATTTGAACCCACGCCTCCAAAGAGACTGGAGCCTTAATCCAGCGCCTTAGACCGCTCAGCCACACTACCCATATATAGTACTACCCAATATAACAGTCAATTTCAGCAGAACCGCAAGTGAAATAATGTCAAATTTCATTTTAATACTTACATATCCTCCTAAAATGTTGAGATTCAGAGGGAAAACTGAAATCAAGGATTTAGCCAAATTTAGCTTGCCTGCAGAGGAAGGGTAGCTGTTTGAGGCAAAAACATTAAAAACATGCAAGAAATGACTATTAAGTCAGCAAGAAACAAACCAATAGCATTCAGTAACATGTAATATAATAATAATAATAATATAAATTGCAATTCTAGCTAGTGTAGTTTATAGTGCATGACACTTTTACAAACTTACAATCCATGTTTTTCCACAAGATTACCAATGCTGACAGTGATGATCTTTTCCCTTCATTCTGTACTGTCTATACACTACGAAACACAATGTACTTAAAATGTGCTTAACTCTACCTTAATTTACCCCTGAAAACACACCAAACCCCTTAATTTGAATTAAGTGGGCGTTAATTTGTGAAACAGACCTCTTAATTTTACCTTAAAATTAGATTTAAGACATGACTGTGAAATCCCTTAATCTTAAATTTAAGGTGTTAATTCAGGGTGT